TTTCCACGAGCCGCGGGCAGCGCGTCCGAGTCCTGGAGCAGGTAAGTGGCGGCTGTAGCTCCGAGCCGGCGCCGGGCGGATTATAAACCCGGCCGGGGCGTGACTGGGACTCCAGGACCCGCCCCTTTCGCCGCGGCCTGGGGACCTGGGAAAGAAACGGGGCTACCGGGAGAACCCGGAGCAGCACAGGTGCTCGAGGCCCTTCCGAGGGCGCCCCACCACCCCCAGCAACCTCCAACTCCAGCTCAGCAGCTCCTGCCTGGGCTGTGCGGCCCCTTCAGAAACCCGAGAGTCACCCGAGGTCAGCCCCCGGGACCCACAGCCCAGCCTGGGCCGGGGGCTCTCTTCTCTTATTTACTTTCACCTTACTCCAGGAAGTATCAGAAAGAAAGAGTCGGAGAAGGAAAAGGTGGGTTAAAGTAAGCAGGAGAGGTGGGGCGAGGTGGGGAGAGATCCTATAACAAAATTAAGGATTTTTCTTAGCAGTATCTTTTCATTATTCAGTATTTACTTTTTATTTCGTCCTTACAGCACAGTGGGAAGGAGCATGGAAGTTTTCGCAAGAAACTTGTAGTGTAGTTACTGAAAACATTTAAGGAAAATAAATTACTTTAATGTGAAGTAGACATTTTGGGAAAATTTTGCAAAAAGTATTTCGAGGACAATGGTAGTGGAAAGTATTAAGGAAAGGGTGTTTGGTTCTAGTTTCAGAGTCTGGGGTGCTGCTACGTGCTCACCTTGCTGTGCACACAGCTTCCAATCGCCTAGAGAAATCGTGTAAATAATGAAACACACACATTGCGTAACAGTCAGAAACTTTCCTGATCCAAAGAGGTCACAGTCATTTCTTATAAACATGCTTCCCAACCCAGTGTTAATGACTTCAGCCCACTGCTCCAAACATTCTAAGGGGCCTATTCAGAAACCCCTCCACTCCACGTGTTTAGAAGATATATTTGCATAACAAGCTCTGATTCCTGCCTTAAATACAATTTATTTGTTATGTGCTCTGTGCACACCCTGAAACGTCTGTTAGCAGTTTGAATAGCCCACTCTTCCTCAGTTATAGCTTCCTTATGAACAGTTAACCCCTGGAATAAAGATAGAGATGACTAGCTTGAGAATTTTTAGGTTCTGTGCTCCTATCTTGCACACCCTGCTTAGCACCCTTACTTTCTTAAAAAGCACATCACAGTCACAGACTTTTTTGAAAAATGGATTGAATGTAAAAGGGGGAAAAAACTCAAGTCAATTAATTCCACCACTTTCTGGAAAGTTTAGCAAAATAGGTGAAAACTACTAGCCAATTTTAGCTTTGAAGATAACTTTCAGTTTTCAAGCACTTGATTTCTCTTTCCCCTTAACACAGAGAGACTAAAGCTGGCCTCACCATTCACAGGACTGGACTAGTCTGAGGAACTGAATTGATTCTTTATTCACTGCTTTCTGGGTCTTCCTTAGTGGATAGTCTATCTCTTATTTGTACCTTACCGTGCCTGTGATTGGCATAAGTCTACCACAAGCCATAGCTACTAAAAGTACCAAAATATATTAACTACTTGCCACTGACATTCTCCTAAAAGTAGCATTAAATTTCTTTTTCCTTACTTGAAAACTTTTCTGAAATGTTGAGTTCGTTTTTATTTTCTTTTAGAAGTGTTCTTACAAATTCATCAAACACCTCAGCTGATGAAACCAACACAAAGGCTAATAGAGTATCTCAATAATAAATCACCTTGCCACTCTGAGTTCAAAGGCAATATTCATTCCTTTTGGTCACCAAATGTTCATAGATGTGACATTGTAGCCATTGTGTGACCACCAATTGCACTTAAATAATCACAGGAATGTGAGATGTTTACCGAACCAAAGGACAATAAAATCACCATGGCAAAAAAACTGAATTTTTTGTGAATAAATGGAGTACTACATTTATAAAGCATAGGATGAAAGATGGGTTGAGTTTATATTGGATTTTGCATTTAATAGACAATGTTGTATACAATTAATAATGCATCACCATTCAAAAATGCAGTTGCCTACTAGACAAACATATGTTGGCCAACATTTGTTCTTCCTGGGTTTTTCAACATATCATTTAATGTATGTGCTGTAAGGAATCCTAGGATGCCTTGCCCACCCACATATGAGCCACTCCAGTCTGCATCCAAATATTCAATTAACATTTTTAATTGCTTTGAGACTTTATGCTGCAGATTGCTGCTAATTAACAGCACCTTAAGACCTCTCCTCAGTTCCCTGTATATTACCACCAAAGATGGCATTTCCATTTTTAGTTATTATAAAGTGTCTATCATCATAAAATCTAAACACACCAAAGATATAGGACATTTCTTTGATTTACAAAATAGAACAAGCATATCTAAAATCTAAATTCAGAGACTCTAAAAATATTCATGCTCTATATTATGAACATAACTATTTCACATAACCCTCTATATGATTTTAATCATTTTCAACCTGATGTTTTATTTAATCCTTTAATTATTCTCATATTGCTCACTTTGCATATCTAAGGTCGAACACATTACAGCCATTTTTTAAACTAAGACCTATATAATGAATTAGTATTTGATACTAAGAGAATAGAAATAGAAATACCTAAAAGGGACAAACTAATCTAGATGTCAGAGAAATGGAGTCACCAAGAGTGCCTCACAGCACCTTGTACCGACACAGCCTTCTCCTTCCAATCATTTCTCACCATTTGGCCACTTCACCTAGAAGTGTCCTAAGTGTATTGGTGAGTTTGAACTCTAGATAATCATGAACAATTATTAACTTCCACTGCTGTGTACACCTTTTGGTCTAGGAATCCGTCAAGGGTATAGCTAAACTGTGTGTCAGATGCTTTCTCTCTAGATCACAGTTCATGAGCTTCAGCAAGGAGTGGTTGTGTTCCTTCCAAGGTACTCCTCTGCACTAGGCACTATGGAAGACTCCAACAGGACAAAACAGTTTCTTCCCTCCAGGAATTCACATTTCTGTGGGTAAGGAGCAAGAGAGTAAATAACTAACTACAATACAAGGTGATATGAAATACGTTAAGTAGAAATGCCTTTACCCCTACATCTAAGAAAGATGTGGTTCATACGATAAGAAAGATCCAGAAAGCTTTCTTGGACAAGACAACGTCTGAGGTAAATTTAAAACACGTAAATAAGATTTGTATAGGCAGTGAACAAAGACCATCCCAGTCAGAAACACTGTTGTCAGATAATGGAACTGCTTATTGTTGATCCATGTTCCCCTTTTAACATGTTCTGTGATCAGCCATCACAAATACGGACGTGTCAGAAACATGTGCCTCAATAGACTTCTGTCCAAACCAAGACACTCTTCTGGGTGTTTAGCTCATTAGTCTGATTTATGTTTTGTCAGAAAGATCATACAAGTTATCCTCTATGTAGAAATTTTTGTTTTTGAGGGTTTCAAACTTTGTTAATAGGAAGTTTTGATTCTTTCGAGTTTCTTAAACAGATTAATTTTATGTTTCACCTGACTAAAGTTACATTTCTTTTTTTTGGCCTCTTCTTTGTCTTTTGTCTTCAGAACACTGAAATTAAGATTGTATTTTAAATACTTATTTTCTGACTTTTCCCTCCAATAGCCGGTGAACTTTATAAGACTAATGGTCACATTACCCCTCTTTTCTTCCTTTATGTAGCATATGGTAGCCACTGGAATTGTTTCCTTATGCCACCAGCCATACAGCAATAAAAGCTGTGGTTACTAAGATGGAAGTCTTCAGGGTGCAATGGGACCTCAGAAAAAAGGAGTGATCCAGTTTATCTGGCAACTGGTATGTCAACAGAAGCTTCATAAAGAAGTGACACATGAGCTTTTTCTCTTTGCCCACAGCAGGGGAAACAGGGGAGCTAAGAAAAACATTCCAATCTAAACAAAAAACAAAAACTCAATACTAAAACCTGCATTGGTGCATTTTTTTAAGATTTATTTTCTTTTTTCTATAACATTAAAACAAGGGGGAAGTTACATATTTAAATAGTCTACATTTTAAAGATTTTTTTCAAAATGTATGTTTCAATCTCATGACATGAGATAAAATATAAGCTAGATGATATGCTTAAGTGAATGCACATTATTAACAGAACTGCAATACTAAAAAGGTGCTAATACTGAGACCTTTTAGACTTGAACAGAAGATGACAGAGCTACGTTACAATGGCCCCTAGGATACACCCATGAAGTCCATTCCCACAGCAACCAGAATACCTCACTTTGCCCTTGAGATGCAGCCATGCCTGGCAAGATGGCAAACCAAATCACAGGGAAATAGTAACTTGAGCACTGTGATCGCCTCGAAGACAGCTGCCGTGATTCCTGCCTTCTGGTAGCACATACTTCTCCCCTTGAGCCAGGGCTCCTTTCCTGATTTGTTTCGTCCAATAGGCTGTGATAGAGGGACTCTGCTAGATCCAGGCAAAGCCTTTAAGAGGCTGGACAATTCCCTTTGCTCTCAGAAACCAGTCTTCACTTAAGAAATCCTGCTACACTGAGGCCTCCACACTATAAGTCCAGGGATCCACATGGGGAGAAAAGATATGTTGGAGCCCTTGGAGGCACTGCCCCTGTCAGACATCCCCAAAAGCTGGATGCAGCCAAGAGAAGGACCCCAGCTTGCTGTGCAGAAAGAATTCTCACCTGAGTTCTGCCCAAGTTCCTAGGCCACAGAATCATGACCAATAATAAATCAGTGTTTTAAGCCACCACACTTTGGTTTATTACACAGCATAAATAACTGAATCAGTCACTTAGTATGGACCAGATACCAGGCCAAGCATTTTCAGAGTATTCCCTTTCATTCTCATAAGAGGCTCAATAATAGC